AAAAAGAAGATTAAATTACAAAAATGAAATGGAGAGAGCACATTTTTGCTGAATTAGGCTGAAAAAGTTGAAATAAGTACAAAAATGTGGAAATAGCAGAAAAAGCTTAAATTAGCATAAAAACAGATATGTAGTAGCTGAAATAGTAGAAAAAGCTGAAACTTGTAGAAATAAGATGAAAGAAGAATAACAAGATGAAATTATCTGAAAAAAGTTAGAAGCACAAAAATATTGTAGCAGAAATAATCTAAAAGGAGCACAAATCTGCTGAAAGTAGCTAAAAAAGTTTAAATTTGCACAAGGAAGCTGAAAGAAGCTGAACTGAAACAAAATGTGAAAGGAGCAGTAAAAGTTATAAACAGATCTAAAGATGTGAAGGATGTAAAATGAGCTCAATTCATTTTCTATGAAAAAGTGGCAGAAAAGTATAAATATTTAAAAAAGCTAAAGCTGCACCAACACCAAAAGTCATACCCTTTTACTGAAAAAGAGCTGAACATTTTGATCTATGATGTGCTGAAACAACACATACATTGTTGAACAAGAAAGATTTCAAATGGATCACAAGAAGCGTTCACACTGCTAATCATAGACACATATAAAGAGTCAAGCAAAGAAAGCACAAGAAGATGTGTAGTCTGTCTGCCACAGAACCCATTTTATTACAAAAATATAATAATTCTTGACCAACCCTGTATCAAATTTAATATATTCATAAAATAAGTGCCCTTAAATTAGCTCTACAGCACATCATGTAATAAAACAATTTCTGTTACAAATACATTTGCTCAATATTAAAACTTGAGTTTGTGGAAGTTAATATTTTACACAAACACGCACCCATCATTTTTCTTTGCTTTTTAAAGATAAAAAAAAACAGGTTAGTTTATGTAAATCCACAAAAGGATCCTGTTTTATCACACTTCACGTTAAAAAACATACCGTTGTTTGTGCTTTCATGTTTGTTGTCATTTTAAATTTGTTAATGAGTTGTAAAAGTTCTCAATAAAAAAAACAAGGATGAACTTGCTGAAAGTGGACATATTTTTAAAATTGGCTTTAAATTAAATAATACTTTAGCAATCTGTCTTATGTCTTTTCAACAACATTTAATATTTGTAATATAGCCTAATAAAGATTTGAATCTTTTAGTGCAACTGAGACAAGTTCAGATGAAATTATAGTTTAGTTAAATGGCATTGTTTTGACAACAGATTGATGAATTAATTTAATAAACAGTTTAATTATGAGATAATTAGGTAAAATAATATAAGCAGATATGTTTTGTGTTCCTCTGAAAGGCAAAATGTGAACAATATCAAATCTGTTAGAATGAGCACTTGACAACTTTTCCATTAAGAGATGAACTTGAATTAGGCTCAACGTGCTCTGCTCCTGTCTCCGTTTCCTCAGAGGAGCCTGTCTACATGAACACGCGTTCTGTGGTGAAGCAGCCGTCTCCTCGGCCTGCGCAGCTGGGGGGCAACCTGAAGACTGTCCCCTGCTCTCTGGACCTGACCCCCAGCGCCCCCAGGCGGTACGACGAAAGAAAACGGAGATACAAACACTGACAGAGACAGCAGCAAACCTTCAGCCCACTCCTATCCGGCCGAAGGTGCTACATTATGCATTATTTTTTATATTATTTTACAAAGATCAAAGCTGATTCGGCTACTTTTGGAAGATGGTGGTGGTGATGCGTTCAGTGACACGGTGCGTTCAATTATCCTCGGAAAGTGGACCTCAGATCTGATTTTAATGACTTTTGACACACGGTAGGATTTGATCATTGCTGCACTCAGTGACTACTATTAGCATCAACAGTTGCTCTATTTTTTTCTCTTTTATATTAATTCAAGTAGTGATGGGTCGTTTGAAAAATGGCCCTCCATTAACTGTGACATTATTTACATGAACGCTCCTACAAGAACCCTGCAGATGTTGGATGCTGTCTATCATGGTGCACTAAGATTCATAACTGGCTGTGATTATCGTACCCACCACTGCACCCAGTATTCACTGGTTAACTGGACATCATTAACTTCACGCAGACTCTCTCACTGGTACATTTTCATCTTTAAATCACTTCTTGGTCTGCTGCCTTCATACATCTCCTCCTACATGTCTCTGCGTGAGTGCAGCTACAGCGTGCGCTCTCAGGACATCATTACCTGCAGTGTTCCCTCAGTCTGGACTGAACTAGGCAAAAGGGTCTTCTCCTACTCCGCTCCTGTTTCCTGTCACACCTTATAAAAAGACTTGAAGCTCTCGACCTTGACCTCTCTAAGGGATTTCAAACATCTGCTAAGTTTGTGGCAAAAACCAATGCAGCCATGTTCCTGATTTTAGTTTTTTACACCGCAACTGTTAGGGACCGGAAAAAATATACATGGACAGAGTTATGAGGAAGGCAAACAAGTTTATAGCAGACAATACACATCCCCTAAGATCCTCACTGGAGTTGCTTCCTTCATGGTACTGCCTTCCTTTATCCTCAAGAAACAGGACAAAATGTTATTTCACACCACAAGTGATTAAATCATTAAACAGTAAAAAGGCATCAGAAATGACTGAGCTCAGACTTCTTTGCCGTTAATGATGGATGTTAATATCATGTTTGTATTTGTATGTCCTCCTTTATGTACCGGTAAATACCTGCTGACAATGGTGCAAACCTATTTCCCTATAGGGGACAAATCAATCAATCAATCAATCAATCAATCAATCAATCAATCAATCAATCAATCTATCTATCTATCTATCTATCTATCTATCTATCTATCTATCTATCTATCTATCTATCTATCTATCTATCTATCCATCCATCCATCCATCCATCCATCTATCTATCTATGTCCGTCCGTCTGTCTTTATAATGTATAGTATTTTACATTGCTTTATATTGTAGCTGATTTTTTTTGTTACATTTTTGCTGTTTTTGTTTCGTTGTAATTTCATTCCTTCTATTTACTTTTCATTGTATATTATTTTTTTACATGACTGTCTCTTGTTGTCTGTTCCTCATCTGTGTTCTTTGTTTAAAACACGTCTCTCTTGTAAATGAGTCCTTGTGGCTCAGTGAGACTAACCTGTAGGAATAAAGGTTGAATGAATTGAAGCTGAAGTTTACCAGTGATAGGCACGTGATCAATGACGTACGACGCGTCAGTGCCCAAGTTACGTCGCTGGTTTGATACCTGCTTCAGTGGCTGGATTTGTCATGTTTTGGTAGCTCAAAATCTAACAAACCAGTGAGCGACATAAAGCCAGCCAGCCTGATGTGTTGTATGTGTTTAGTTTATCAATTCATAAGCACTTTCATCCCACAAGCATCACTTTAAACTGGTATTGTGCTGTGGATTAGATATGATGTATTTTAAATAAATAAAAACATCTGTGTTTACAAATGTCAAGAAGTCACAAGCAAAGGGGCGTCATGCCATGCCACTTGTTTAGTCATCAAAATTATGTATTCATCAAATAACCCAATATTTTATTCTGTCACCTACAAAACAATAAATGTTCCAATCACCTCAGTGACAGCTCACATCAGAGAAGCGTCTCAGCTGTCAACTCTCTGGACAGCCACGATGAAGAGGTTCATTTTAAGTAGCTGTATATCATTTATCATGATGTAACATTTAATTTTAATGGCACTCCATGAATTTGCCCCCACCCCTCGACCCCCACTGAGCCCCTTGATCATGTGAACAGCTAGTTCTGGATGTCAACAACAAACTGGTTGATCCACTATGAGAAGGTGCTGTTTATAAGACTGAGTTTACTGCAGCTCCTCAAACTGAAGAAGTCTTTCGGACAAAAGACGAAACATTTCAACAAGTTTTTTTTAATTTATTTTAATCCGTCCAGAGGACCTGATTTAACTTTGTTAGATTTTTCTACCTGGATTATTGAACATTCATCTGGATAAACGGCTCTATACTTTTGGCCACAAGAGGTCGCCAAAGAGGACACTGTTGAAAAGCATCGAGTAATGAGCCCTTTTTAGAAACAAGATTCAATGCTTCAGAAAATCTCCTTCATTCAAGTACCGAAGCAACATTTTTATGCATACATATTCACTATTAGTGGTTGAAGTGCAATATGTGAGTGACTAATTTATTAAGAGGAAAAACATCCATCCAATATCCAACAAAGTTACGCCAGGTCCTCTGGACGGTTTCTTTTTACTGAAACGTTTCGTCTTTCATCCAAAAGACTTCATCAGTCCGAAGAGCTGTGGCTCGATCCTTCATCGCACTGATAAAGTCTTTTGGATGAAAGACGAAATGTTTCGGTAAAAAGAAACCGTCCAGAGCTTTGTTGGATTTTCTACCTGGATTACTGAGGTCAGGATGTTTTGATCCATCCATTATCTTTCCTGTCCAGGTTACGGGGGCCACTGGTGCCCATATACTGTGAAATTAAAATAAATTATAGCTGCAACTAAACCTTTTTTGCCCCAGTTAGCTTTAGTGGATTTTAAGACTGAGGCTGTTTTAAGAAAAATGACAATTACCTGACTTGTCATTGCCTTTCAGTTGATCAATTGTTTCAATTTCTTGTTCAACTTGGATCTTGGGAGCTCCGACTTCCAAGAATAACGCACCATAATTTATTATTATTAGTATTATTATTATATGCGGTTTGTTTTCTCATATAATTAAGCTACAGCCATGCTTCTTGTATTAAATAATGTTTCAGATAGCTTTTACTACAAAATATTGTGGCAGGAAACATTTGTATTTTTAAGTGTGTGCCTGTTTTTACAAATCGTATTAAAGATTTTAAGAGTGACGTTGCAGTGTTTTTTAAAAAGCTCATAGCCAAGTGATTCCTAGTAACAGATTTAACATTATTCAGACATTGTGTGGACCATAAAATCACAACAAAACTTTCAGGCCCGAGAGAGAATCTGATTGGTTGCCGTCACGTGACCAGCAGGCTCCGCCTCTCGCTGGTGCTGTTGCTGGATTATGTTTCCCTGCTGGATTATTCAGGCGCTGGTTCACAGGTGGAGCGCGCTAGGTGTAAAGACGGATCTGGAACAGGCTGTGCTGCGTCCTTCTGTTCCTCTTGTGGTTCCTCCCGACAAGTCTTGGTAAGTTCGAGTCGAACTGGAGCCGCTAAGCGACTTTTACTGACTTGTTGTTGTGCAGGTTGTTGTATCTCACCTCCCCCACAGCTCCGGGTGGGAACTAGAAGGCACACAGGCTGTAAATTCCCTGATTTATTTAAAGATTATGGCATATACTCATCTAATAATAGCGGAAGGGAGAATCGGTAGTAGGACATTTATACTAGTCGCTCCAGCGCAGATAGTTTTTCACTCTGCAAACTTGGAGGGTTGCCAGGTCTCCACAGGTTTAACTGAACACCGACAGAAAAACCGTTTCCTTCCCAGAAGACTGACTTTTTTCACGTAAAACGACTTGTTTTTCTTCGATAATGCATGGATGTGAAATGTTCACCTCACATGGAACTTTGTTAATAATAATAAATAAAATAAAAAATGTTTTGAATTAATTGGGTCATTATGTAAAATGAAAATAAAACAGAATGCAATGATTTGCAAAGCTCAAACACTTGTTTTTCTCATAAAGACAAATGGTAAACGCATCACACGTTTAGACTAAGAAATTGTAAAGTCTTTTTGAATTTGGCTGCAACACCTCTCAAAGAAGCTGAGGGCTGTAAAAGTAGCAGCGCAAGTAAGAAACTGCTGAAGAAGCATTTTGTGACCTTTTCCCAGTGCACTTACTGAACTGTCAAAAGTTTGTAAGAGGACTGAGTATCAAAAGAGCATTTCAGAGAGGTACTCCAGTTTCCTCCCACAGACCAAAAACATGCACGTTAGGCTGATTGGTAACTCTAAATTGTCTCTAGGTGTGAGTGAGAGACTGAATGGTTGTTTGTCTCATTTGTCTCTGCGTCCCTGTGATGGACTTGAGACCTGTCCAGGGTGTCCCCCGCCTGCTCTCACACAATGACTGCTGGATATGGGCACCAGTGACCCCACTGACCCAAAAAAGGAAGAAGCATGTAAATATGATTGATGGATGGATGAATATTTAATTCCAGTGATTTTGGGGCCTTCGGGCAGTGTTGCATTAAAATAGTTCTGATTCGGTTCTGGCCGTCCCTAACAGGAACAGTTCTGAAGAAAAAAAAAGGTTTGTAAACACAGTTCTCTGTGCCATGCTGCTTAACGCTCTGTTGTGCGAAGAAGAAGTCCTACGTAAACACATTCCAGAAACAATGCTTAACTTAATTAGAAATGGGCCGAGGCAAAGTGGAAAACTGTTGCCAGTCAAAGTCTGAAATTATTTTTGCAAGCCACAGACGCCACAGCCTTCATATTAAAGAGAAAATGAACCGTTCGTATTGTTATCAGTGCACAGTTCAAATGTTTGTCTTTGATGGTATGGGGGTGCATTAGTGCCCGTGGCACGGGCAGCTTCCACATCTGGAAATACGCCATCACTGCAGGAAAGCATCTTCAAGTTTTCCAACAATATCTGCTCCCATCCAGCAAAGAAGACGGTGGAAGAGCTAGAATCCTACGTCAAACAAGGAAAGGACAACGTTCCCTCCAAAACCTCCAGCAGCTGATCTCCTCAGTTCCTGGACATTTACAGACTGTTTGTAAACGAAGATGGATGATTTCAAAGTGGAAAACAGCCCTGTGCTGCCATAAAATTCAAAATTACCTTGAGCCCCCTCCACAAGGTTCAAGGTTCATTCACATCGCATCACATGTGGTACATGAGGTGGAACGAAACTGTGTACTCAAGATACCAGTTACACCCAAAAAATAGCACTAATATAAAGTATAAAACAGAAACGGTATACTAGGATCTAATGTATATAATTTTAAAACAAAGGTGTATTAAACAGCAGCCTGAACATGAGTCTGTAGCGAGCAGATGGGTAAGAATCAGCAGCATGGATAATCAGCAGCACCACCACTAAAATAGTTCAATTGCTTATTGAAACATTTGAAACATTGAGAATAGAAATGATGGGTTTATGAGACTAGCAATTCATTACATCAAAGTTTTATTGTCATTGTAGCAAACAGTCCTATTTTAAATATTTAACTTCTTTCTAACTCGTAAACTTTAAAGATGATTTGGTTAAAGAGTGCAGACACGTTTTGGTCTGTACAGTAAAACAGTAAAACATTAACTTGCTGTGTACTTCCTCAGGGAGGTGTATCTGTCAGGGTGCAGCTCTCGGTGGTTGTGAGGGATAATACTCTGGTATTCTGTGGTCTCAGCTGTAGATGATGCATGCTTTCTCTTGTGTTTTTTTCATGCACTACACTGCATGCATTCCATACACCCACACTGTAAATGAGGGGTTCGCGTCACACCACAAGATCACAATGGCTTTTCTTTAGAACACTTGAAGTCCCTGATGTGACGTGGTTTTCAGATATTTGAAAAGTGAGAATCACAGCAGGGCTGAGCAGAAAAGTGTCTTTAGTGGTTGTGTTGGTGACATTTTGGAGCGAGAGTGCAGTAAGATCAGATGACTCTGCTGAGAGGAGAATAACAGTAAGTTGTTAATTGTGGATTTGTCTCCACCTTTATTTCAAATCAGCCAGGACGTTCTGGTGACTGATTATAGTGGCGTACAGTCTGCGACATGTATTTTATAGTTGCATTTTTTTAATTTCGAGAAAAACACCGGAACACAGGTCATCATTTCTAACTTTAAATAAAGATAAAATTTAACCTTTTATCACTTAAAAAAAAACCCCACTATTTGTAAATTTTCAGATTTACAAGAAATTAAATATTTCATATTACAAACATCTTCTCATCTTCATCAGCTGCGGTCATTGTCAAATTTGAACAAATACACTTATTTACTGCAGAACCCCCGTTCAGACTGAAAGAACATTCCTCTTAGTTTTCACTTGGCTTACAAATATTCCCAAGAGTATCATAGCTTCTCAATAACCAAAATTATTAAAAATAAGAAATATATACAATAAAATCAGGGGCGCTTTCTGGGAGAAAACGTAAATAGTAATAAAAAGTGGGTGAAAAAAAAAACTGTAGGAGAAGACCGGACAGAGAACTTATAGAAATCCATCTCTAGCTGGAGTGACACGCTTTATCCACCTGTTCCAAATTCTATAAAACTGATCTCTTTGGATATTCAGGGTATAGGTTAACTTTTCTAATATTTCTAAGGTACTATCTAACCACCCTTCCACTGTAGGAGGGATTGGGTTGAGCCACTTTCTGGTAATATTTTCTTGCTTGCCTCTAAGAGGGCCTGCAGTTTTCTGTTCCAAGATAGTAACAGATAAACAGTCATAACATTGAATGGTATTTCAATTCCACAAAACAAGTTTAAGGTTTTATGAATGTCTCTCCAGTACTCTATTTAGGACACCACCAGAACATATGGTAATGATTGATTTTATCACATTTGCATTATCGATATTGAAAGACGGCTTAAGGTTCAAAAAAACTAATGCTGTTCTGGTAGTAGCTGAAACTGGTCCCCAACACATGTTTTGAACAGATTGTGCAAGATTTATGTTTAAAATTTTAGTATTACCTATGTGTAATTTACCCTTTTATAAACCACTGAAGGAATTTCAATAAAACCTTCGAGAGATAATCATTGGATGGACTTCTACACCTGATTATGGTTTGGAGCCAACTCGATTCAAGATGGTTGCCACAACTCACCGACTTTAAAATATACTAAAAATGGTTTTAATACAGTCAGTTTTACAATGTTGTCCTAAAATTTGGTGCGATGGCAGGTGAGTGTCAGTCCCTACACGTACCGAACAAAAATATTTGTTTTTGCTGCCATTTTTCATGAGCTGAACTCATGAACTCATTAAGATCTTGGGCTTTTTCTATGTACACAAAAGACAATACAGTTGGCATGCTGGCTGCAGGAAAGTACACCAGAGCTGTTGCCTGTGAATTGAACGATCATTTCTCTACAATAAGCCGAAGGTGTTTCAGAGAATTTGGCAGTACATCCAACCAACCTCACAACCACAGACCACATGTAACCACACCAGCCCAGGACCTCCACATCCAGCATCTTCACCTCCAAGATCACCTGAGACCAGCCACCATGACAGCTGCTGCAGCCGGTTGCATAACTAAACAGTTTCTGCACAAACTGTCAAACTGTTTCAGAGAAGCTCATCTGCATGCGTCCTCATCAGGGTCTGCACCTGACCGCAGTTCATCGTTGTAACCAACTTGATTGGGCCACTGCTCGCATTCAGTGGCATATGGCATGACGGAGAGGTGTTCTCTCCAGCGACTATAGTATTGTGTGGGTGAGATGTTTGCCGATGTCATCGTTGTGACTCAAGTGACCCATGGTGGCGATGTGGTTATAGTATGGGCAGGTGGATGTAATGGACATCAAACAGAGGTTCATTTGATGGCATTTGAATGCACAGAGAGTGCACAATGAGATCCCGATGCCCATTGTGCCATTCATCTACGATCATCACCTCATGTTGAAGCATGATGATGCACGGCTCCATGACCATGTTGCAAGGATCTGGACACATGGAAACTGAAAACATCTCAGCTCTTGTAGTGTCAGCATTCTCACCGGACATGTCGTCTATTCAGCATGTTTGGGATGCTCTAGATCTACGTATACAACCACGTGTTCCAGTTCCTGACAATATCCAATAATTTCACACAGCCATTGAAGACGAGTGGTCCAACCTTCCACAGGCCACAGTCAACCACCTGATCAACTCAATGAAAGGGAGATGACACACTGCACGAGGCAAATGGTGGTTACACCAAATACTGACTGGTTCTATGACCCTCTGGACCACCCAATATAGTGAACTGCACAGTTTAGAGTGGCCTTTTATTGTGGTCATCCTAAGGAACACCTGTGCAATAATCATGCTGTCTAATCATCATCCTGATATGGCACACCTGTGAGGAGGATGGATTATCTCGGCAAAGGAGAAGTGCTCTGTAACACAGATTTACACAGATTCGTGAACAATGACAGAGAAAGGCCTTTTGTGTGCATAAAGACATCTTAGCTCTTTGAGTTCAGCTCATGAAAAATGGGAGCAAAAAC